GCAAAGAATTCAGAAGTCTCCATAGAAGCCCAGTTCCCGTGTTGACGCTTGATACCCAATAAATAGTCACCAAGTGGAACGCTAGATGGCAGCACGGACGACCTGAAGCATTACAGAGCGAGGGGAAGAGCATGGACGGCGAGAGTTGCCGTCGGGTGGGCATATATGCTTTAAGTGGGGGTTCGTAACTCCCCTCCCCCCCGCCGTCCTATGATCCGCTTCTCCGCACTCTGCGTCTCAAGACGGGGCAAAAAACAGATTTAGACCCGAGATACCACTGAGGGCTCTATAGCTGCCCGTTGACTTGTACGTCGATTCGTACTGCGGAGGACACGAATGCCTTCCCTGCAAACACGCAAACGGCAATGCATGATGGAAAGGCATTCATGTCGGCCAGTGTACATTTCTCACTCATTATATCTTGATATAATATAATTATTGAAGATCGAACAATCCTACGCTTTGCAACACATGTAATTTACAGAAGAGTACGAGACGTGGTTATTCCCGATTTTCGCCGTACTTCATTATTTTGTATTCTTCAATAGACAAAACTATTTGTTGAAACAATAGGTTTCATCTGTCAGGAATTTATGAAAAAAAAGCCTTTGAAATTTAGCACTTTTCTCATAATAATATAAATTACCAAATTGTATAGAAACAGCTGATCTGCGGCGGCAAGAAAGGGGGGATACCGAGAAAGAGAACGCATGTGTGTATTCTAGATGGTGGGAGAAAGAAAGCATGCATAAACGGCGGGATTCTGCCCGGCCTGGCGTATGTGGAACGGGACGGACGCTGTGAGAATGAGAACGCATGTGTTAGCCAATGTATTGTAGGTGATGAGAGAAAGAAAGACATGCATAAAACAGCGGGATTCTGCCCGCCGTGGCGTACATGGAAGGCGAATGAACGTCTGTGAGAAAGAGAACATATGCGTAGCCAACGCATCCTGCGTGGTGGAGTCACGCATAGAATGATGGAAGCTTCCAGCCAGCAGAGAGATACATAGAAAGGGAAAACGTCTGTAAGAGGAAGAACGCACGTGTTAGCCAACGTATTCTTCGTGTAGAGAAAAAGAGATGCACATAGAATGACGAAAGAGGTACACTGACGGACATGATTGCCCCCTTATGCATATGGTACGGCAAGTACAGGAAGAGACAGCATTCATGCCCGTCACTGTACATGGAAGGGGAACGGACGATCTGTCAAAGAGAGAACGCACGTGTTAGGCACGTATGCTACGTGGCGGAAAAAGAGAGACACGCATAGACCGACGGGAATTTCTGCCCGCGGAGTGATACATGGGAAGGAACGACGTCGTAAGAAAGAGAACGCACGTGTTAGCCAACGTATTCTACGTAGTAGAGAAAAAGAGATGCACATAGAATCCGGGAGGGGTACATAAAAGGGAAATGGACGATCCGTAAGAGAGAGAACGCATGTGCTAGCCAACTGTATTCGACACCAGGGGAGAAAGAGAGATGTACAGAAGGAGGCGGAGTTTCTCCGAGAAGAGTAGGAATGGACGATCTGCAAGAGAGAGAACGCATGTGTTAGCCAAGTGTATTCGACACCACGGGAGAAAGAGAGATGTATAGAAGGAGGCGGAGTTTCTCCGAGAAGAGTGGGAGAGGCCCGGTAGCCAGTGTGAGTAAGACGAAGAGAGAATGTATTTCCAACATAATGAGAGAACATGAGATAGAAAATGGCAGGGAGAGAGGGGTGAAAGCGACCACGGCGCCACCATGCAGTTGGCTAACATAACTAAAATGTTAGCCAACTTTTTCGGGCATCGGAGGCCCGTATCCTTCTGGGCTTCTATGGAGACATCTGTATTCTTTGCATTGGGTGCATTCAGAGGAGAAAACAGTCCAGTGATCGGTTAGCGCTCATCTGCTGAATGTTGCTGAATGGGTACCAGAGATGAGTTGGGAGATTGCTCACGGGCAGCAGAGATGAGCAGGGAGATGTTCCAAGCCTTTGTTTGAAAGTGAGGCACGGCTCACTGGCGCCCTCTGCGCCCTTGTAAGACTTGGAACTGCTTTCAAAGGGGCGAAATATTCGTGACCGGTAAAACAGTACGGTTGGCATGAAATGCCATCCCGCGGCGAAAATATGAACTGCTTTCAAAAGGGCGAGAACTTTTACCGTTGATAAAAGAGTATGGTCCGAATGAAGTGCCACCTAGCGATCAGAAGTCAAACTGGTTTCAAAGGGGCGAGAACTTTCATTATCGGTAAGGATATCCGAATGTAAGGAATGCAAACATGTGATTATCCTACATTGAATGATTATAGAAGCAGATATTTAAAAACAGACTCTCTTTATTGAGAAATCGATAAAATTAACAGGCGTGATCTGTCAATCTCTTCTTCATCACCTCGACATCCTAAAATTCCTCGAAGTCCTTTATTGCACGGGATGTTTCTTGAGCTCCGACACTAAATGAGAAAAAAATTAAAATCAATTATTTTTGTTAAATTAATATCGAGACTCGGTCGGAAGGTCGATGCGTTANTTTTTGTTTATAAATATTTATTTTCTTTAGGATATCCATTCTGCCCCTCGAGCGATTCGAATTCCGCGCTGCTCCCGCCGCTAGTACGCTGCGCGGCCGGAGAGGGCAGTGCGGACCAAGTGCAAGCCATGGATGGAGTCCAGTGTACTTCTGAATTCTCTGACCATGTCCGACCACATATCCGGTGTATGTCGTGGCAGGTGGTTGAAGTGTTTGAGGTTATCTTCGGATTTGCAAGATGTACGTTACCGGAGTGATTCTTTCGTTCATATGTGTAATTACCACGGTAAATGCCCACCAGAATGGTCGAACACTGGTCCTACTCGACAATTTAGTAATTAAAGAAACCCACTCAATATTTTTCAAATGGATGCAAGGTAACTGCATTCGTTCAAATATTAATTTTTTAAAGCAGTACTTTCGTTAACGATGATTTTCTTCTTTTAAGTTGTTTTAATTTTCTTGTTCTTGTATTTGAGTAGATATGAAAGTGGTATCCAAAAGCTCAGTCATTCATGAAATTTTTCTAAAAACTGGGTGTACTGAATCGTTTCAAACTTTACACGTGAACATGGATGCTATAGAGAAAGTCTTGACGCTCATGAAATTTCATTTTTTATATGAAATTTTATGGAAATTAAGGTCTTATAGCCTCCATATTCACATTCTGAAGTTTCAAATCGTTCGGTACATCCAGTTTGGTGGAAAGTTTCGCAAACGAGACCTATGTAAGGCCACTTTCGCATCCCCTTATGAATGGTTATAATTCATAGTTTAAGTGTGGCATGCTGTTTACTAATGGCTATTTCAGATAAGAATCAATTGTTTGTTTCATAATATTTATAAAATTAATCTTCATTGCAGACGGTGGATTTGACTTAACTTTCAAACTGGCTGATAGTGCTAATCTCCTCCTTTCCAAGTATGGTGAATATCTATACGATCACTTAATCATATTTGCTCCAATGGTGGAAGAATTTGGTGGAACGCTCAATGTAGAATCCATAACCGATTTCATTGATGGAGGCGGGAACGTGTTAATAGCTGGGTCATCTCAATCTGGAGATGTTCTTCGGGAATTAGCCTCAGAATGTGGTTTTGAAGTTGACCAGGAAGGTGCTTCAATAATTGATCATATGAATTATGATGTTTCTGATAATGGTCAGCATACAAAAATTATAGCAGACCCACTGAATTTAATTAATGCTTCTGTGATTGTTGGTACCAAAGATGTATCACCACTGCTTTATGAGGGAACAGGTTTGATAGCTGATGTTGATAATCCATTGGCATTGCGACTTCTCACAGCTTCTAGTTCAGCTTATTCTTATAATCCAAGCCATCTTATTAAGGAGTATCCTCATGCCATTGGCAAGAACACGCTTTTAATTGCAGCGTTACAAGCCAGAAATAATGCCAGAGTATTGTTCTCCGGGTCTCTCTTTTTCTTTAGTGATGAAGCTTTCACAAGTCCTGTGCAGAAAGCCCAAGGTACGTAATGCATCTTAAGCTTATTCTACTAAATAATACTTTAAATATTTATTATACCAAATATGAAATATAATAAGTTTGAAAGATGGAACTATAAATATTAAAAATCAAAATACTAAATATTCACAGGTGATAAAAAATACAGCAAGTCTGGAAATAAAGAGGTTGCTAAAGCTTTATCTCAGTGGGTCTTCAAGGAGAGTGGAGTGATTCGTGTATCATCTGTAAACCATCATCGAATTGGGGAAACTCGTCCACCTCCTGCCTACACAATTATGGATGATGTTGTGTATTCAATAGATGTTGAGATGCTGTCTAATGATAGTTGGGTACCATACGAAGCTGACGATCTTCAACTTGAATTTGTTAGGATTGATCCTTTTGTGCGTACTACTATGAAAAGACTCAATGGTGGTCGTTATGAGGCTAGATTCAAGATTCCTGATGTATATGGCGTGTATCAGTTTAAGGTTGATTATACTCGTGTTGGTTGGACTCATTTATACAGTACAACCCAGGTTTCAGTGAGACCTTTACAACATACGCAATACGAACGTTTTATCCCTAGTGCTTTTCCATACTATGTTAGTGCCTTTTCAATGATGGGTGGTGTATTTTTATTTTCTTTAGTTTTTCTACATTACAAGGAAGATGGAAAATCAAAGTCTGATTAAGTTGTATTTTTTAATGAAATGTACCATATGATCAGGCGGGACATAATTCATCCTGACAGTTGTCGCTCATTTTTAATAATTTTATTCACATTATTTCTGTGAATGGCAAATATATTATTTGTAAATATATTGTGTATATTTAAATATTCTTGGGTACCTTGAATTTAAATGAAACTTTATCAGCAGATGGTCATTGGGTAGATCAATTTAATTACACACCTTTTTAAGGTGATTGGAGCGTCGATAGCCCATCCGCGTTAATTATTAGTATAAACTTAATCTTTTGTAATCGCTCGAGTCAAGGCCCACGGAAACTCGAAGTCCTTCCCACGCGTACCGAAAGACCCGAGCCATCCTCGAAAGGGGGGCAATAAAACTTCTGAGTCCGAGCATTCTCAAAGGGTCTCTTTTCGAGGGTTTTCGCCTCAAACTTACGACATTTTTTTTCTTTAGTTTTCGCCAAACTTACGACATTTTTTACATTTAGTAACTTTGCTGAAATTACAGAAATTCAAAATATATTTAACGAAAGGGACAACGGAGAAAATGTGGGACAAGAGAATGGATTCAGTGGGGAAATCGATTCAGTAAGGAAACAGTCAAGTCGAATTATAAATTTAGCACTTGAAGAACATCGATGACAGACTGAGAAATCTTTCGTCAAATTCTTTAGAATGAATACATTTAATTGACATTGTTCTAAAAAATGGACCATTTATTAAATGATAGGATACTATCATGCAATACATTCGTGTTATTGATAGAAAAAGTTTCATTGTTTATTAAATGATAGGGTATGATTATGTGTAAGACTATACATCCGGAGAAAAAACTGTCAGTGACGCTTTGCTTCTTAGTTACAACTGAATTGTATCGTAAGTTGGAATTTTGAACAAGATTTTCTGCGTGTACTTTGTTATATATAATACCAAAGACTTGCGAAATTTTATAAGATGATTATATACAGGTGAACTAGAAGATTCGATTTATTAAATAAGCCTGTTTAATTATTTTAAATAATTTAATATTATCTAACATTTGATAAATTTTAGACTCAAATAAAAAGAAGAATGAAAGAAGGTTCCATAAGAGTTTTTCATTTGTAGAATGTTTTAAATTGTCTAAGGGCAATGGATAAACAGCACATAGGATAGTATTAAATAATTTTAAATAAATGAACAGTACATAATTGACATGTTTAATGAATTGTATCTTTCAATTTACCTGTTTGAAATCATTTCTTAAAACTTCGTAAATGATCCAGCAAGTCTCTAGTATTATGCATAACAAAATTGACATAACAAATATTGTTGAAAGATCCACCTTCTGATATAATTCACCTATTACTAAGGAGCAAAGTGTTACTGATAGTTTTTCCTCAGAGTGTATACTATTTTGTATGATCGTACTCTGTCATTTACTAAGCGGTGAAACTTTTTCTGTCAACATGTTACAACAATCTATTGCATGATAGTATCCTGACTTTTAATGTGGGATCAATTTTCTTGGAACTATGTTAAGTAAACTTACCACCATTCTGAAGAACTTGACAAAAGATTCCTCAGCTTGTAATTGATGTTCTTTACCTGCCAAATTTTTCCAACTGACTCTATTTCCCTACGTGGAATGTATTCTCTTGCCAAAAATTGTCTCGGTTGTCCCTTTTGTTGGATACATGTAATTCCAGTAATAGTTACTAAAACTAAAAAATTTCTTAAGTTTGTTTATCTGAGTAACGTTCATTTTCTCAATAATAATCAAGGTGCGTCAAGCTAGCACGGCAACATCCCAATACACGATTTCTGAATACAGAGGAATTATGTGCTAATTATGTGCTAATTTTGTGCTGAATTAATT